TTTTCACCTGAAAACGCGATTTCCCTAAACACATGCCCAGCTCCCTGTGCTATTCTCTTCTGCTCCGTGTCCTTTTCCCTTTCAGCCTGTAGCCCGTCCCGATGCCTCTCCCTTTCTCAATCTTTTGCTCTCTCATCCCTTCAATCCCTCTCTCTTCTTGACCATCTCTTGCCCTCCCTCCTTCCCATTATCCTTTCCCCCCACAGTTAATTTCTCTCTGTCTTTCTAGTCTCCACTCATCATTATCACTCTTCCACTGCCTTGCTCCCTGAACCTTTTTTTCTTCCAACACGCGTCTGTAGGTCTCCCCCTTCCTTTTCTAGTGATTTCACCATCTCTAATTCCATTACGTCCTCTCATCCCTTTTTGGCTTCCCAGCCTTTTTCAAACACTAATGCCCATCAGAACCTGCACCACCTTCCGGCATCTCCTTTTTCCTGGAGGATAGTTGCCCTGTGGCATCTAGGCCTCCAGTTTTCTGCAGCCTAGCGGTCATTTTGCTCTTCCACTCCATTTTGCCCTCCACTTTATGCTGCCCTTCACTTATCCCAAGCCTGCCTCTCTCTTGGAGCCAACCTGCCTGCCTTCCTCTTGCAGCCAGGCTGTCTCCCTCCCTCCCTCTTGCAGCGTTCAATATTTTCCAGGCTCTATCTCTCCCTGGCCTACCACTCCTTTTCAGCCTCCCACCTTTTTTCGGACTCCAATTTCTACTGGCCTCTACTACCCTCCAGCCTCCCACCTCTTTTCAGCATCGCACTCCTTTTTTGATAGCACGTTTTTCTGGCCTTTATTTTCCTACCAGCCTCTTTTACATCTCTTGCATCTTTTCTGCACTCCCTTTATTCGTGCCTTGATGTGCTGCCGGGAAAGGTATTCATGGCAACAGCGATTCTCTTGCTCCATGCTTGCTTTGTCTCAGAAAGAGCCTTGGAGTGCTTTTCAAAGAGATAATGCAATTCTGGCCTAAAACGTGTACGTTTGCACTTCCCAGGAATAGGGAAGCTGCTAGCCGGGAATTCTCTGCCTGGATTTCTCCAATGCCCGTCAAGCTATGCAGGGCAGAAGAGATTCTCATGCTCTGTGCTTTCTTTCGCTCAGAATGAGCAATGATGTACTTTTTACCGAAAAAAACCATGATTTCAGCCAAAAAGATGTACATTTGCACTTCCCAGGTACAGAGAAACTGCTAGTTAGGAATTCTGTGCCTGGATTTTCCCACAGCCTGGAAATCTATACAAGTCAACAGCAATTCTCATGCTCCCTGCTTGCTATTGCTCACATGAGCCTTGGGTTTCTTTTCGGTGACAAACACGATTTCAGCTGAAAATGTGTATGTTTGCAGTTCCCAGGCACAGGGAAGGTGCTACCGGGTAATTCTCTGCCTGGTTTCCTCACTGCTCGAAAAGCTATCCATGGCAACAGCAATTCTTATGCTCCGTGCTTACTTTGGTACAGCATCTGCCTTGGTGGGCTTTTCGGCGAGAAAAAGCAACTTCGCCTTAAAACGCGATTTCAGCCGAAAACGTGCACGTTTACACTTCCCAGCCACAGAGAAGCTGCTAGTCGGGAATTCTCTGCCTGGATTTACCTGCTGCCCGTAAAGCTTTTGAGGGAAATAGCCTTTCTCATGCTCCATGCTTGCATTGGTTCAGAATGAGCCTTGGTGTGCTTTTCGGTGACAAATATCGAATTCAGTCAAAAACATGTGCGTTTGCACTTCCCAGGAACAGAGAAGCTGTTAGCCGGGAATTCTCTCTCTGGATATAGGGGCTGCAGGGAACGCTATGCAGGGCAACAGTGATTATCGTCCTCTGCGCTTGCTTTGGCTCAGAATCAGCTTTGGTATGGTTTTTAGCGAGAAAACGCAATTT